GGGCTGGTCTGGAACTCCTGACCTCAAGCAATCCTCCTGCCTTGGTCTCCCAGAGTGTTAGGATTACAGGTGTGAGCCACTGCTCCTGGCCCAAAAAATACTATTTTAGGTGAGAACTATAAAATGAAGAATCTTAGTTATAATTTGAGTCTTTAAAAATTAATAATTAAGAAATGATGAAATTACTATGGCAACACTTCATGGAAGCTAAGAAGGTGGTGGGGCTGCAGAGGCCGGATGAGCGTTGCTGTGGGTCGTGGAGGAGGCTTACTTGGAGGTCCTCCTCTGACAGGAGGATGATGCTGGAGAGATCTTCTTTCAGCTGCCTGGCCACATTCTTCCATTTCAACCCTGTCCCACTGTCTGTTTCATCTACATCAAAGGACTCTTGGGAAATCCAAGCTGTACCTCCATCTGATAAATGGGAGAAAATGCCAGTCATGGTCAGAGTAATTTGAAGTACTGTTTTCGCCTCTTCCAACACATACAGACCTCTTGAGGATGTCTGCATCCTTCTGACTGACCATTTAGAAATATTTCAGTGGTGAAGGAAGCACCTTATCTCAAGGATTCACAGGAAAGCCAATCTCCATCTAGGACCTTAAGTTTCCTTCTTCAGTTTATGTCCGTGTGAAACTGCTCTGTGTTTTACGGAAAGAAGACACTTAAACCCAATGTATGGTCACATACCCAGGATCCTATCACACTTCCCTTTTAGTTACTTTTTGTCTGGGTGTGTCCTATCTGTGTATAAAAAACATTCATTCTCACCAGCACTTCTCTGGGGCTTGGGGATTTATTAGTCCCTTCCTTAATTGGAGGAGCTATAGTCACTATTTGCTGTCCCTTGGGCCTAAGTACAAAGGGTGCTGGTACAGCCATTGCTGAAAGGTGATTTCCTCAATTTAGTGGCTGATGGACCTTTCTCAAGACACTTCTTTAGCTCTTTGATCCCTGATCATCAATGTTAGTCCCTTTTGTATCTCCAGTGATGATGATGATGACAGTGACAGGTAACACTGATTGAAGACTTACTGTGTGCCAGCTGACATCTAAATGCTTCATATCAGTGGTTCTCACCTGGGAGTGATTTTGCCCTCTGGGAGACATTTGACAATATCTGGAGTCATTCTTCGTTGTCACAGTTGGGATAGGGGATCGTACTGACATCTAGGGATGCTGCTAAACATCTTAAACATACAAAGCATCCTCTCTGCAACAAAGAATTCTCCAGCCCCAAATGTCAACAGTATTAGTGAGAAACTCTGGTTTGATATGTACTATATTATTCTTACAACAATCCTAGGAGATAGGTACTATAGTTATTAGGTCAATAAGGCACTGAGAGGTCATGTAATTTGCACAAAGTCACCTGGCTAGTAGAGTCAGGATTCAGACCCAGGCAGCCTGACTCCTGCCTGCAGTGCTGATCTCCCTGCCATACTGCATTTAGTTGCCATCAGTCTGTGAGTTAGTTGAAAACTGGGCCTGTATCTCCTCAGGACTCAGCACCATGTCTGGGACATAGAAGTGCTCAGTAAATGTTTGCTGCATAAATGCCTAAAAGGCTAGACAAATAGCAACAAATTGCTTTTGCAATAAAATGAATATGATGGATACTGTATTGCATAGGCCGTTTTATATATGGCGCTGTTGTTTCTTACCTGAATTGTTGTATGCCCACTTCTCATTATTGGCCAATGCCACAAACTTGGTATTAGAAGGTAGACACAGGAAGTAATCATCATCATCCACTATGGTGCCATCCTCTGCCAGGACCAGGGTGACTGGTGTCAGGGACTTATCAATGGCCAGAATGTCACAAGCTGAGAAGAATAAAATATTTGGCAACTGACAAATATTCATAAGGAAATTATATCCATCCTTATACTCTCAATACGTATGCCTTTAAAGCCAAGCAGAATTCCTGGTGTATAGTAATAACTACAGTAACAACCATACATACCAGCACTAATATAACACCATGTGCCTGGTAATGTTCTAAGTGCTTTTCATATACAGCATTTAATCTCATAGCAATCCTGTAAGGTAGGTACTATTATTATTCCCATTTTACAGATGATGAACCCAAGGTGATGGCAGTGTCTAAAATGCTAACGGGACTGAAGTAAGCAGAAATAGCTTACTACAAATATCTCTCTGCAATGATGTCTACCACCCAAATAGAACAGCAAGCCTTATGTGGGCTGAGCTACAAAGAACACAGTCCTCTGTGCCAAGTACATCCAGCCAATACTCTGAAATGGCACTAAAATTGAAGTAACCTAAGGCCAGGAAAAAATATGTAAACACTTATATGGCAAAAATCTATGTCACCAAGGCATTTATAGTGCTTTGGTGCTCCTGGGTCTCTGAAAAACTTCTATGTGGTATCTGTTGGGCCTTACTGACACTGAGATGGAGCAACTGTCCACTCTGACAGGAACTGCCTAGGGCTGGCTCACACATCTAACCTGTAAAACTTCTTTGTGATTAGTAATTTGTTGCTACAGGCTAATAACACTTGCAAATCATTTGAATATGTCACCTTATTTAAGAGTCCCAACAATCCTCTGAAGCGGGCTGGGCTGGGAGTATCATATCCAGGAGTATTATATCCGGTTTGCTCATGAGAAAACTGAGCGTTGAGAGATGGTTAAGTGCGAGGTCAAGCAGCTAGTAACAGTATGGCGCCAGGCTCAGAACTTATGTCATCTCAGGCACCCACAACTCACGTTCCTTGTCTGGACCTCCAGGAACGGTCAGTAGCAGCGCCCTCTTTATGGCACAGGTCCCTGCTAGAGCTGATAGTGCAAACCCGCCCTGACCCTGCTATGGGCTCGGTTGGGGGCCCCAGTATCACCTTAGTGAGCCGCAGTGGCAGGAATACACCGGGCTAGGTTTGGTCCAATATCTAAGTGATTTTAGGCAATAGACTTAAACCGAATCTGTCTTAATTTGCACATTTCTTCCTATCTTGCCAACACTATGCATCTCACACGAGATAAACTGCGTTTAAGCACCTGAAATCTATAAATCGCTAAACCCACCTGGACCATTTCTCTCCCAAGGCTCTACCCGAGCTGCAAGAATCCCCCAGTCGCCTATCCAGACCCCACCTTGCCCCGCCGGACATCCTCCCGCGGCCCCGGCTCCCCCAGCCCCTCTCCCGGGTCCCCTGCCAACCCTTGCTCCTCAGCTCCTCCAGGCAGGAGGCAGCCACGCCGTGCTGTTCGCGGCTGTGGTTGCGGCGCAGCAGACACGGTTTTAGATTCCGGATCTCGCTGGGTTCCGGAGCCCCGGCGCTCCCAGTCACCTCCATCCTTTTCAAGGTGGGAGCCCGACTGACTCCAGGAAGTCGCGGGAAGCTAGGCGCGGCTGTCCTCCTACTCGACCTCCCCTTCCGTGGCCTGCTGGGAGTTGTAGTTCTCGCTGCAGCAAATCACCCATGGGGCCGGGGCACGCCGGGAGATGTAGTTCTAGGCAATCGCGTGCGACCCCGAGGCATGCCGGGAACTGTAGTCTCTGGATTCAAAGCCGATTTCGCTATTATTAGTATATCACAGGATTCAACTCGGGAGGAGTTTGTTCTTACATTGTATTGCTATTTAGGAGTTGCAAGTCGCACGTTTACAAAGGAGGTCAGTAGGGACTTACTTTGCGTCACGAAGTACACGCATTGAATTTTTATAGCACTACAATTTGTGATGATAGGATGCATAATGTACTTAAATAAAAGTCTGTCATTGCACTGTGTTAATTGGTTTTCCTTTTCTAACCTGAAAAGATTTGTAACATGTCCAAATGTGCAGGCTGATATGAAGGAATTCAATTTTAAAAACTGGAAAGTTTTCGGTCTTGATGAAAACACAACAAAGTAGCATAAGATACCCACACATTTCCACCCATTCCATTCCCAGCTTCAGTTGTACAAATTGGATTGGGGCCTCAGAACAAAATGCTTTATTTAAATAGAGTAAACATTAAAGTCTCAAATCAGTGAAGAAAGGGGAAATGCGAACCACAGTACCTCTGTGATTGTTCAGATACTACTTGACAACATACTAATATTTATCCTGTTTTAATACTGCTATTTACGGAAAAGTCTGTGTTTTTTCCTCCTGAAAAACTAACACTTAAGATTAAAAGAATAATTAAAAAGAATAAAAAAGGTTCCTAGCTTAAAATAGGGCATTTTATGTAAACTGGAAATAATTGCCCATATTCGTTCAGTCAGTCCCTTTCGTATTTTGTTTATTAAAAAAAGTGGGTGAGGAAATCAGATACTATCTAAGGAAAAGGGTAGGCATTTAAAAGTGTTTGGTAGGAGGAATTGTTAATTAAGGCAACCCTTTTAAGTGCTTCATATTGACCAAAACACAACCATAATATGAGCTGGCTCATAGTTCTTATATGCATCCTTTTTCATGTAATTTCATATTTAGTTTAAAATCTAACAATCCAACCACTATAAAGTAATTATGTTTCTTACAGAATCCTCTCCTCCCCAAAAAGCCCCTTCCAGTGTGTTTTCCCAAAAGACCTGCACATTGTTATCCGAGTCCTATCCCCACGATGCTGTAACTGTGTGTGTGTTCGGCCTGGGCTTGGGAATAGGGGGCGGGTCTTGGATCTTTTTATTTCTAGCGCCTACCAAAGTTCCTGGCAAATGGAAAGCACTCGATGACTGGCACCGAACTGAATGTCTAAGAATTAATTTCCAAATTTCTCCACATTCATTCATTATTAAATACTTAGCGAGTCCCCATGCCCACGGCACTGTGGGGACGGGTAGAGATTTAATTCAATAAAATAATACACATATAACAATGCAAAAGAGGATTTAGACTTCGGATCTTCCTTTAAAGCAGAGACAACGGAAATTGTGCGAGGTGAACTCGGACGGCCGGGTTCCGCCCTCTGCCCCAAGTCCGCCCTCCCCATCGACAGGCTCAGTTCCGGCTACCTTAGTCTGGGTGGGAGAGCGAGAGCGAGGGCGCTTGGGAGAAACCTAGTCCAGCGGCGATAGATTAGTCAGGCCTCAGAAAGATGGCGTCCTCGGAGCAGGCAGAGCAGCCGAGCCAGGTAAGGGGAGTGGGACTGCTCCGCTGTGGCGGCGGGGACCCCGGGTGGAGGGGGCGCTCGGCATACGGTTGGGAGCCGGGTAGGGACCCAGAGTCTCCGAAGCTAGGGGTCCCCGGCTCCTCGCCCCCTTCCGAGCCCCGCCCCTCCGCAGGTCCTCCCCGCCCGGCCCCTCCCCCGGTGACCCCTCTTTGACCACATTCCGGAGCCCGGGATCTGGCACTTGGCCGCGCCCGCGGGCCCCCTCTTCCCGCCTGCCAGCGCCTCCGGTCCCACTTGAGTT